TGCCACTTGACATCCCAGCTGCTTCCTTTTCCATCCAGCTCCCTGCTGATGCATCTGGGAAAGCAGCAGAAGGTGGCCCAAGTGCTTGGGCCCCTGCCACCTACGTGGGAGAGATTCAGGTGGAGTTCCAGGGTCCTGGCTTTAGGCTGGCCCAGCCCCAGCTATTGCAGCCATTTGGGGAATGAACCAATTGATGGAAGATCTCTCTCGGCCTCCCCAACCCCTCAAACTCTGTGTCTCAAATAAAAAAAAATCCCTAAACCAGGAACCATTTCTCCTGCATCTAATACCAAAGGTCCTGATCAGGAGTGTGAAACAGAAATGCACCAAGTGTACACCATGCACTACGCATTCATCTTGGCTCTCTGGTTCTGGAAGAATCCATCCTTTGCTGGGGAGAAGGTCTGGGCCCAGAGGCAAGTGTGGGTTTGAGAGGGCAGAGCTGAGCAGAAGTGTGAGTTACCTTGAGTGAGCTCCAGAGCACTGGGTAAAGGTGGAGTCTGCTCAGGAAGCAGTCTCAGGTGTGCTAATGAAACTGGCAACCCCCAGGGTGGTAAAGACCTGGCACTTAGTGATGAATTACGGAAATGATTCCTGAAAGTATAGTCCTCAGACCCGGCAGTTGGAAGTGGCTTTACGAGTGGAACTTCCCTGTCCTAGCTGAGGTCAGAATTTCGCTCTCTGGATAGTTCTCTGTCTCTGGCTCCTGGGTCTGTCAGACTTTGTAAAAGGCCTCTCATGACAAGTGCCTCCCTGGTGGCAAAGGGCTCAGGTCTGGACTGCGAGCAGTGTTTTGGTAAGATTCCTGTGCATTGCCTCAGATGCGCTCCCACTCCCCCTTTAAACAGTCTGATTGCGTAAGATTTCACGGGTAGACTTGGGTGAGATCGTTTGTTACTCTAACAGAACTATAAGTTGTGTAGCTCTGTTGTGCATGTTGGCTTAGGGATGATGGCGTGGAGGTTAGGCTTGGGGCAGGAGTGGAGGCACTGCTGGTTAAGGGAAAAGACGATATTCTTATGCTAATACAGGCACTGGATAAGGAGCAAAGCAGCCATGCAAACAATGCCCATGGAGCCAGAAAGTCTGCAGTGCATCTACTCCTTCTCTGAGAGCTTGTCAGACCAGGCGCCTGGCGCTGCCGGGGGCCTGCACCGGGGAGTTTGCTCCTTGATGCTTGGCCGAACTGGCAGCTGGCCAGCTTGTTGGAAATTCCCAAACCTCTCCACTAGAAAGTAAAAATTACGGGTGGGGGGCTTAATGGGAAGAGGAAAGAATGACTTTGGTCTGTTTTTTCAGCTGACTTCAGCCTTTTCCTGTTTTGTTTTCTTTAATTCTTACTGAATTATTGGTTCAACCTTCTTACTGTTTGTGAAGCTTCAACATTTTTTACTTTTGAAAAAGAAATTATTCTATCTTATTGACCCACTCTGCCTTCATCTTATTTTCCTGGAGGAAAAACTTTACTAATTTGTGTGTGTGTGTATTATGCCATATATATATACATATATATATACACACACACACATACATATATGTGTGTGTGTATATATATATATCAAAGGTAAATTATTTAGATGCCCATTTGTTTTTTACCTTAATAGTTTTTAAATGCCAGCCTCCTTTAAAAATTTCGATCATGTAGCATTTCAATTGTTTACATCTCCTTATGTTCTTAAAAAAAAATGGTTGTTGAATCTCATTTTTGGCTGGGGTACAGAGAGGGCTGTTTGCTTATTTCACAGGCAGAGAGAGACCTCCCATCTGCTGGTTCACTTCCCAAATGCAGAAACTCAGTTCAGGTCCCCTGTTGGAGTGATGGGGAGCCCAGTGCCTGAGCCATCATCCCATGCTGCCTCGCCAGGTGCTCACTGGCAGGTAGCTGGCATCAGGAGCAGATTGGGACTCTACATAGGGGCTCTCACGTGGGCTATAGGCCTCCCAACTCGCATCTTAGTCACTATGCCAGATGCCTGCCCCATCCTTATAGTCTTGGCATTCCAAGAAGATATTTTGGGACCGGTGCTGTAGTACAGCAGGTTAATGCCCTGGCCTGAAGCACTGGCATCCTATATGGGCGACAGTTTGAGACCCAGCTGCTCCACTTTCGATCCAGCTCTCTGCTATGGCCTGGGAAAGCAGTAGAAAATGGCCCAAGACCTTGGGCCCCTGCACCCACATGGGAGACCTAGAAGAAGTTTCTGGCTCCTGGCTTCGGATCAGCACAGCTCCAGCTGTTGCAGCCAACTGGGGAGTGAACCATCGGCTGGAAGACACCCTCCCCTGCCTCTCCTCTGTGTAACTCTGACTTTCAAATAAATAAATCTTAAAAAAAATAGATATTTTAATTTAATGCAAAAATTCTGATGAATTAGTCTAGGAGTTTTTTCAAATATAGATTTTATTGATGCAGGCCTTTTGGTCTTGAAGTTAACATGTCCATTCCCCATGTTGGAGTACCTGGGTTTGATACATGGCCCCAGCTCCCAGTGCCAGCTTCCAGCCAGTGCAAACCCTTAGAGGCAGCGTTGAAGACTCAAGTACTTGGGTGCCTGCCACCCATGTGGAAGACCTGGATTGAACTCCTGGTTGGGCCCAGCATAGCCCTGGCCCTTGTGAGCATTTGGAGAGTGAACCAGTGGATGGGTGATCTCTGTCTAGCCCTCACAGACCCCCGCCCCCATGATAATAAATCTATTTTATTATCAGATGCTAGAATTATAAAATTCTCAATTTATGAATAGTTGTAAAATAAGCTTAATATTTTGCTACATCCTGATTATAGAAACAGTTCACATGAGGGGATAAGTAAAGCCCTCAGTATTTATACTGTTAATAGCAGTCGCAGCACTCACACTGCCGTCTATTACTCAGTGGGTTAGTAAGACTCTGTCTGGTGGCTAATGAAACGGAGACCTGGATAGCTTAAATGACTTCCCCAAAGTCACACCGTGAATAAACACTGGGGCTGCTCCTCAACACCAAGCAGACTAGTGATTTAAGCTCTGAAACTGCTCCTTGGGGTCTCATAGGAAAAGTTCCTTTACCTGGAACACAAGACTGATGCCATTTATGTGGGACCGTGGTTTCGGAGGGCCAGTGGAGCAGGGAGTCATACTTGCTGAGGTCATTTTAACACAAGGAGCATACATTCGGCAAGTTCTGGAAGGAAAGATGCTGGTGGTGTTCTCCAGTTCTCCGGCATTTTGGCTGCTTTATGCTTATGTTGTCTCTGCTCTGGCTGTGCTGTTTGGACTTCTGTCCTGGTTGACTGCGAAAAACTCATTGTAATTAGGCTCTTATTATTTTGTCAGGTTTCTTGTGATGATTATGTTAGTTATTCATTACTCCAAAACTTAGCAACTTAGTGGTTTTCCACTGCCATCAGGGCCAGCCTGTGGCACAATGGGTTAAGTCGCTGTTTGTGATGCTGGCATCCCATATCAGAGTGGTGGTTTGAGTCCCAATTGCGCTGCTTCTAATCCAGCTTCTTTGCACATGGTGCCTAGAAAGGTGGCAGATGATGGCCCAAGTGTCTGAATCCCTCCCTCCCACATGGGAGACCTGGATGGAGCTCCTGGCTTTGGCCTGGCCCAGCCCTGAGTAAATCCATAGGTGATCTCTTTCCCTATAACTCTACCTTTTTTTTTTTTTTTTTTAAAGATTTATTTATTTATTTGAGTGGTAGAGTTACAGAGAAAGAGAGGTCTTCCATCTGCTGGTTCACTCCCAAATGGCTGCAATGGCCAGAGCTGGGCTGATCCAAAGTCAGGAGCCAGGAGCTTCTTCTGGGTCTCCCACATGGTGCAGGGGCCGAAGGACTTGGGCCATCTTCTGCTGCTCTCCCAGGCTATAGCAGAGAGCTGGATCAGAATTGGAGCAGCCTGGACTCGAAGTGGCACCCATGTGGGATGCTGGTGCCTCAGGCAGAGGCTTTGCTTTTTATACCACAGCACCTTCCCTATAACTCTACCTTTCAGATAAATAAAATAAATCTTCTACAAGCCACTACTACCATTTATTGCACGTTTTTGAGGGGCAGGAATCCAACAGGCCACAAGGTTCTTCCTGAAGTTTTGGTTAAGAGGTTCGTGGAGACACAGTTGCCCCGGGGCAGTTGACAGAAGGCCGCAGTCCCTGCTGGGTGGGCCCTTCTCTGAGGCCACTCCAGTGTCCTTCCCACTTGGAAGCTGGCTGCCCTCCAGTGAGGGAGCGGGGAGGAAGCCGACCCAGGGGCAGGAGTCACACTGTTGCTTCATTTTATTGGCTAGAAGTGAGTCACAAAGTCTCCTTGTCATTCAAGGGAGGGGACTGGGCTCCACCCTTTGAAGGGAGTTTCAAAAGCACTGCATGATCTTTGACTGGTAGACTGAGTTCTTTCTAACTGTGAAAAGTGTCCCGTGTGTGGTCATCTCTGTTCCACCTGCAGCCCCACATGCTGTGTTAACACTGTCTGTGAAGGATCCCAACCCATGTTCACCAGTGAGAGCCATGGAGGCGGGCTTGGTGTCAGTGCCTTTGTATATCTTCAGCCCGGAATGTCTGCCTCAAAACCAGAGGCCCCGTGAGCCATTCCCGCCGAGCGACCTCAGATATCCAAATCTCAGTTTGAGCCTCTGCTTTCACTCCTTTCAAACTCCACTCATTCCCATTTTGGGGATCACTTATGTCAGAGATGTGCGGATCTTCTTTAATGCCTTACCTCAGCAACCTTAGCCTCTGTTGCCACTCTCCTAAACTACATTTCTTCTTTTTTCAAAGATGTATTTATATGAAAGGCAGAGTGACAGATGGGGGGGAGAGAGAAAGAGTGAGCGAGAGCACAAGACAGAGCTAGCAGGAGTGCAAGAGCAGACTTCCATCTCTTGGTTCACTCCCCGAATAGCTGCCACAGCTGGGGCTTGGCCAGGCTGAAGCCAGGAGCCTGGAGCGCCATCAGGGTCTCCCATGTGGATTGCAAGGGGCCCAAACACTTAAACGTTTTCTGTTGCTTCCCCAAGCACATCAGCAGAGAGTTGGATCAGAAGCAGAGCAGCCTGGCTAGAACCAGTGCTGCAGTATGGGATGCTGGCATCACAGGTGACGGGTTGACCAGCTACCCCTCAACACCAGCCCTTCATGATACAGTTCCCACAGTATTCTGTGCTCATCTCCTCCAGTTCATCATATAGATCACAGGTAATTGCCTCCCATCCTGCTTAGCATTACATCCCCAAGCCTACATAGGGTCTTGCCTCATCTGTGCGTCTTTAACCTCATCTCCCTCACACTGGCCCTCGTTCTCCTTTGAGAAACAGTGTCCTTTCTGTTCTTCTCTGCCTCAAGATCTTCGCACAGGCTGTTCCCTAAGACTAGGATTCCCCCCCACACCTTACTTGGCTAGCTCTTAACTCTTCCGGTTGCCTCTGTCACTTCTCCATGTTGCTTTTCCCGACCCCTCCACCTAGACTAGATCAGGTCACCGCCTGTACCCCCGTGACCTGCCACTTCCCTTCCTACCACGAGCTGGGATTACGAAAGGCCTGTGTTGTCCTGATTATCTTGTCTCGTTTAGTGGCGGTCAGCTTCATGGATCTGTTCTGTTTTTATCACTGTGTTCTCAGTATCTGTGGTGGAATCATACATCAAATAGACACTTAAATAATTAGTAAATTAATATTCAGCAGCAAGAACACTGTGTGCACAGGACTTCAGCATGAGAAGGGATCTGACAAATTACTAGCCCACCGTCCCTTTCATGTCAAGAGGACATCCAGCTGTGTTGCTTGTAGCTCAAGTTAGGCAGTTTCTCCTCTTTCCTTTCCTTGCATTCTTCCCTTTAGAGGCCTGACCAGGTAGAGCAGAGTGAGGCCGCTGCCCTCTTTGTTTCTGTTAATCCTTGGTAAGCTTGCATTCAAGTCCCAAGTGCAGATACACACTGAGCTTCCAGTTAGCTAAGACCTGATGGCTGATCGCCATACATGTTAAATACAAGTTTCAGTCTATAAAACTTTTCTTGCAGATGAGCTTGTCCTGAACAGCACCTACTACTTCCTCTGCCAGGTTGGCACTTGTTGTGCACATGCATGGTGTGAAAAAAGCATCCGAACACCTACTGTGTACCAGGCTCTGCTCATGCTTTATGATGTGTATGCTGTATGAGGCACACAGCGGGGCCAGCAGGCAGTGCAGGGTGGCAGTCTGTACTTGGAGTTTGCACTCAGACCTCCTTGTCACTCACCAGCAGTGTGACCTTAAGTCGTTCCTTAAAGCCTCCTTGCCTGTTTTCTCATTTGTAAAATTAAAATAATAACTCTGCCTTTCTTCTAAGGTGGCTGTCATGATTCAGTAAGTTGATGTTAGCAAAGCCCCTGTAATGGTACTGCCATACAGTTGGAGGAGAATTGTTCTCAGAATAACTTGGGGTTAGCAAATATCTTGCTGTTTTCTAAGATAAGGACACTCATGCAGAGAAGCTAAGTTACTTACTTAAGGCAGATTCAGGGTTTGAACTCGTGCCAAGGTTGCAGGGTCAGGGACTGTGAGTGTGGCGAATGCTTAGAGTTCTTGGATTGCTCTGTAGGATGCCGAGGTTGTAGCTCTAATGAGACAGGCCACATAGTGGCTTTAAATAAACTGATGAATAAACAAGTCACTGCAACTGGAGAAACGGTGCCACCTTTCACTGTGACAGCAAGAGGAGGAGCAGCACTGGGGAGCAGGAAGGATTTAGACAAGTGGGTAGAAGATACATGGTGGGCAGGTAGAAATGAGGGCACACATCAAAGCTGGAAGGAAATATACTAGAAATTTTTTGTGCATCTGAAACCTAGAACAAGTACCATAAAATCACAGTTGAATAGTTTCAGGAAGTAAATCTTCCAGAGGGAATGCTGTGAAGTCATACTGCAAACCTCATTCTGCAGTTCTTTTAGATTTTAACATCTTCGGCTCTTGGCATGGTATGATGGGAAGCAATTTCATTTTGTAGTAGAGAACTAAGAATTGTGCGGATTTTAGAGCTAAACCATAAATAAGATGTCCATATGAAACACCTTACTGGAAGCTTTATTTGTCTCAATCCTGTAAATGCCTTTGGAAAGCTAATTATTTTGAAAAATTCTTAAGTACTGAGAAAGCTTGGGTTATTTAGCATATAAGTCACATGAATGGTAGCTGTATCAAAAATAAGCAAAACCATTTTCATTCAGGAATAATTCAGGCTTAGGTCAATAAAATGGAGGTACTAGAACCAATAGAATAGGAGAAAAGTAGAATTATATTCATCTTGATACATACTAGCCTTTTTCTCTTGTTACCTATTAAACCATTTTACTTTGAGGCCTTTAAGAGTTCACTGTGTTAACAATAACCACATCTTATATCAGGGAGGTTATGTTTAATGTCATCCATATTAAAAGCCCAGTTACATCCTAATTAAGTTAGATTTGCAATATTTTAGGAAAATATTTTTCCTTCTAAGCATATAATTTTTTAATTTTAGTTTTTGAAAATAATTTCAGATGTATTTCTCTTTGGTTTTGCTTTAATGATGAAACTCATTGCTAATTTGAATATGTGTGATTTTCTTTGTAAATGTTCTTTTCTATCTGCAGAATAAATTATTAGGAAGATGCCAGATGTTTTTATTACATCCTCTAGGGTTTGAAAGAATGTTAATGAATAGCTTATATTTTAAACTTGACTTTCCCTATTTGATTCTTACCATATTAAGGAATTTTCTTGAAAGTAAACCAGCTTCCTTCTGAGCAGCCAGGAAGGGCGACTATGTACTGTATTCCTCTTGCTTTCCGTATGGGGGTCTGAGGTCAGAAGAGGTTACACTCTATTATGGAGTTACTTAGGCTTTGTATTTTAACAAGAAGAGCTTTACTCTTTAAAAATGCATTTCACTGCTTAAAGGTGTGTGTGGACATTTGTTTTTCTCTCAGTTTTGGAAAACTTTCCAAAATTTAGTTGTGCTCATTGCCTTTTCGCTGTTGTCTTTCAGGAGAAAGCAGTGGGAGTTGGAGTTACTGTCAAGTGATTGCGGCCTGTCCTGAGAACACTTCCCCGAGCTCAGCTGTTAACGGTGACAGAGCACAGGGGACGCCGACCTTGAACAATGACTCAGCTCTGTGTGCACATCAGGTTACTGGGAGCCTATCTGTTCATCATTTCTCGTGTTCACGGTCAGTGGTGTTCATGTAATATATGTAGGCATTCATTCTTACATCTGTTTGTTCTTTTTTTCTTTGTAAAGGTTTATTGATTTATTTGAAAGGCTGAGTTAGAGAGAGAGATCTTTCACCTGCTGATTCACTTTCCGAAGGCTGCTGTGGTTGGGGCTGGGCCAGGCTGAAACCAGGAGCCAGGAGCTTCATCTGGGTCTCCCACGTGGTTGCGGGGACCCAAGCACTGGGCCGTGATGTGCTGCTTTCTCAGGCCATAGCAGGGAGCTGGATGTCCGAGCAGCAGGGAATGGAACTGGTGCCCATTAGGGATGCTGGCATTACAGATACTCGAGGCTTGACCCACTGTGCCACAGCGCGGGCCCCAATATCTATTCTTTCAACTCATGTCGCCTTTTTAACAGTTAGGCCCAGCATTTCAGCACAGATTTTGAAAAAAATTATTACTGTTATTTTAATTCTTCATGTTTATGGGGGACAGTATGAACATTCAGTGTATGTATTCAGTGGGTGATAATCAAATCAGGTTAGCTAGCATTTCCATCTCCTTAAACATTTAAAAATAAGTTTTATTAATACCTAATAACTGTACATATTTATGAGCACAGTGTGATATTTCAATAAATACTTATGTTTTGTAATTAAATCAGAGTAACTAATGTTTCCTTTTCCTTGTCACCAGCACAACTTTTTAAATAAAGAGCCACAGAACAGATACAGGTTAAATAATTTTTGAACTTGGCTGCAATATAAACATTTTCAAGTGCTTTTAAAATCTCAGCCTCTCAGAGCCTATTTGCACGTCCATGACAGAGATATTGTCTCAACACACCATCCTGCGGCCTCGTGAGGCTTAACTGCAATAGCATGTACGTGGCACTGGTCTGTGCTGAGTACTGATTTATGACCATTCCTGTGATATCACCCTGTGTGTTCATAGCTTGCAGCTCCCAAACAGGAAGTTATTGTGAGGACTCTGAGGGTCAGATGAACTGTATTTGCACATGAGACTTTTCCTGGATGACTTAATTAGGGTGATGTTTTAAACTGAAAGGATAGTACTATTTTGCAAGAGGATTTCAGATGGAATATATTGAACATATTCATACCTTTAATTTTTCTACTTCATAAGTTGCTCTTTCATAATGTTTTGTTCACAGTAATATGGATTAATATTTACCCACAAAAAGAAACATTTACAGCATAAAACTTTTGGCATTTCCATTGAATTTGTAGCCTGTTTGTACTTTGTCTCAGATATAAAAATATCCTTATTATTACCATGCTTAGAATACAGAAGCTTCTTGCAAAAGCCACTCTTACTTGTGAAACACCAAATTGTTTAACACAACATTTTTATTTTGACACTGGTGACATGCTTTATTGGTCACCATCAACCGAAGCAGTCATAGACTTGAAGATGAGGAGGTAAAATGAATAGTAATATTTATATTTGCCTCTAACTTCCAGGCAATCTGTTTGGTGTAAACAAATTTTAATATCTTTTTAGGCTGATATAGGTAGTATCCCCTATACTATCTCAGATTGTTCTACAAAAGTAATTCCAAATAGTCCATGGAGGGGCCAGTGCTGTGACACAGCAGCTAAAGCCCCGACCTGCAGCACCAGCATCCCATATGGGCTCTGGTTGAGTTCCAGCAGCTCCACCTCTCATTCAGCTCCCTGCTAATGCACCTAGGAAAGCAGCAGAAGCTGGCCCAAGTGCTTGGGCCCCCGCACCCACGTGGGAGACCTGGAAGAAGCTCCTGGCTTCAGCTTGGCCCAGCCCTGACCCTGTGGCCATTTGAGGAGTGAATCAAAAGATGGAATCAATCAACCAATCAATCAGTCTCTTTCTGCCTCCCTCCCTCTCTCCTCCTCTGTAAATCTGCCTTTCAAAAAATAAACAAATCTTTAGAAAGAAACCACAAAAATAAAAAGAAACAAGATTATTTTGATAGTTGTCTCAAATGATAACACAAAAAGTATTTGCTCTTAAAGAAAACTAAAACCAATGTAGTAAAGGTATTATTTTTCAGAAATACCCAAAATCACAGAGTGGTATCAGGGAAAATAACTATAGTTCTAGGTTTAGCCTGAATTCTGTCTTAGGAAACTAAATTTCTTTGTAACTTGGAAGAAATAGTAACACTTCTCCTTGATATGAACAGGAATTTTTTGAGCATCAAGTGTTCTGATGTGGGTTTGATTGCCTTACATTGAGATAAAGTCACTCACATTTCACTAAAAAATCGAGTCATCTGATGTATATCTTTAAGATTTATTTATTTATTTTGAAAGCCAGAGTTACAGAAAGAGGGAGAGACAAAGAGATTTTCCTTCGGCAGGTTCACTCCCGAGGTGGTCAAAATGGTTGGGGCTGGGCCAGGTGGAGCCAGGAGCCAGGAGCTTTGTCCAGGTCTCTCGAGTGGGTGGCAAGTGGCCAAGCATTCTGCTGCTTTTCCCAGGCCATCAGCAGGGAGCTGGGTCAGAAGTGGAACAGCCAGGACTTGAACCCGTGCCCATATGGAATGCTGCTGTCACAGGTGGCAGACAAGCTGTGCCACAACGCTGGCCCCAAAAGTCATCTGATATTAGCTTCTAACAGGCATTTAGTCCTCTTTTCTCCCCTAAACTTTGATTTTAGCTTTGAGTAACTGACCCAACTCACAGTGGCCTAAATAGGGGTTTATTTTTAACGTAGGTTGTAGGTATTGGCGAGTGCTTAGTAATGGTGCAGTCTTGAGGTCACCGACTGTCATTCTCTCGGACCGTCCCTCGTGGCTACAGAACAGCTGTCCTTCGTCTGAAGCAGGGGAAATGAGGGAGGGGTGGGCAGCGGCCTCAGCTGGATCCCTCACCTCAGGAAAGCAGAAGTGTCCACAGAAGCTAACCCCATCACCCAAGGCTTGCTGGCTAAAATGAGCCTACTTGCAAGAGCTACAAGCAAGTAGCTTCTCAGCATTGCCTTAGATGAATCTATGTCCATGGCTGAGGGCTGAGCACACTGTGTGCCCTAAACAAAACCAGAGCTTGGTTAGCTGGGGAAGGGGCAACTGACTGGGCCTGCAGTGGTGTTTTATCTCGTCTGTCACTTAGCATGTTCTCAGCTACAAGTAGCAAAAATAAACAAACAAATAAATAAAAATAAATAAATATTCAAAAGGGCTTTAAACTGTAAGGAAAACGTAATACCACACAACCGGGAGTCTAAAGGTACAGGCACTAACTAGTTCTTTCTGTGTCAGCTGTGCCATCTTCCACATGTCAGTTTAACTCTGGGTTAACTCACCTCACAGCCACAGTGTGGTTACTGAGAGCCAGATGCCACATACACATGTGGCAACTTAGTGATAACATCCAGTAAAGAAGGGGGCTGAATATATCTCTTCCTGGCTCTTTGTAATTGATAAAGAAATCTTTCCCCCCGGCACTCCCCTCCTTCCTCCAATAGACTTCATTCTAATCTTAGTGGTCAAAACTTGATATACATTCTTGTGTAAACAAATCACTGACAAGGGGAATGGAACTCAAATGGTTGGATTAGAACAAGAGTTACCTCAGTCCAGGGTAGGGCTGCGCTTTGCCTGAATCTGGTGGAGTAGGGGCAAACGCTTTAAGAGTGTGTGAGTGTGTGTGCACACGTTACATGTGTGCTGCTGCCCAGGGGAGGGAGAATGTCTGTTGCAGGGTGCCACGTCTGCCTCCCATCATCTACAACCCTCCCCACACCTGTGCCCCAGAAGTGCTCCTGGTGATGGGTATTTTCAGAGGGACCTGTGACCCCAGGGCTCCGTCCACTCAGTGCCCTCAGCTGCTCCTCCAGGACATGTGGTGTGCAGCCCTCTCCTGCACATCTGGATGTGCCACTTTGGGTTCAGCGGTGTGGTTCAGAGAAAGGAGGAAGGAGAGTTGGTAGCATCCTCAGCACTTGCTGCTGCGTATGGAAGCCTGGCGGTGAAGGGTGGCCAGCCACCTGGGAGGTTTTCTCTTGACTGGTGCAGCTGGCTAGTGTTTCTGCTGGTAGCCTCTGTCTGAGATGGCCTTAGTGGAGGGTGTACTCTCTGGAGTCTGGGCAGCTTTAGTGGCTATTAGTGGCTATTAGTGTGGAAGTTCAGGTGTATCTTTGACAGTAGGCTATGGCAGGCCTTCTGGTGTAGTGAGTAAAGTCGCTGGTTTGGATGCTGGCTGCTCCACTTCTAATCTAGCTTTCTGCTAATGTGTCTGGGAAAGCAACAGAGGATGGCCCAAGTGCTTGGGCCCCTAACATCCACATGGGAGACCCTGGCTCCTGGCTTTGGACTGGCCCAACTCCGGCCACTATGGCCATTTGGAGAGTGAACCAATGGATGAAAGATCTCTGTCTCTAATTCTGCCTTTCAAATAAATAAATGTTTAAAAATTTTTTTTTAGTAGGCTGACGTTCCATTTGCTTCTGATCTGTTTGAGACCTGTTAAGCACAGCTGAGCTTCTTGTCTGGATGTAGTACTCTGAGGATTCGGGTCTCTAGCCCCCTTTCTTTGCTTGCCTGCTCCCCTGGCCCTTACTTTGCTGTCCTGTGCTCCAAGGCACTCTAGTGTTAGGTTAGAAGATGACCTTGCTTGATTTGATTTCATAGCACTTATCTCTAAGTAAACATCAAAAAATACCAGATTGCAGTATTTGTTGGTTTTTATTGACTTTCTCCTTCTAAGACTTAAAGCTGTAATTGATAAGGAACTTCATTTTGTTCGTTGTTGTAGTCACTCAGGGCTTAAAGCTGGCTAGCACTCTGTAATTATTACTTAATAACATTTTTGTGTAATGAATTAAAATAGAGCAAGAAAGAAGTTATTGTGTTAGACATATATTTTTATACTGAACAATATGCAGCAGCAGCAGGCACCTGTTATCACCCAGATTATGGCCTAGGACTCCTTGGAGCAATTGCTGATTTTAAGTCTGGCAAGGAAAGTGCAAGGTGACCTGAAATATCTTGGCCAGAAATCAAGGGAAAGCTTGAAGGATACGGGGACCGGTTTGAAGAGGCAGAGCTGGTACCATTTGAACATTAGCAAGGATCCTGACTGCAGTGGATTAAGAGATCAAGTATGCTTAAGTTTATGGGGGTTGTAGTGACACCGAAAGAAGGAAAAACCAGTTAATGTTGAAAGTGGCTAACCAGATCAGTGACTGACAGCTGGTAGAGGGGAAATCAAGCGTTAACTCCTCTCTCTCAATCGAATTGTGCCACGTACTCAAGTAGTAGATGAGGGAAACCATCTCATTGTAGAGGTGTTCTATGTCATGAAGAAGCAGAAATGATAGAGTTAAGATACTCCATTTTATGCTACTCCATCTGCTGCTGCTTTCCCAGGCCCATTAGCAGGGAGCTGGGTAGGAAGTAGAGCAGCTGCAGCTCAAACTAGTGCTCTGATAATGGAATGCCAGTGTCGCAGGCAGCAGCTTAGCTCACCGTGCCACAGCACCAGCCCCTTCGTAATAGGATTCTAGAGCTGATTCAGTCCTCAGCTGTCCCTGTTCCCTGGCTTTACTGAGTGTGTGAGGCCTGGAGGAGTGACGTGGATCCCCCAGAACCCAGTTCTCTTCACCCACCCAGTGGATTGCTTCCTGACCTGTGCCCCTCACCCTTCCCTCCATCTGTACAGTTGAAGTTCTTGCAGCAAGTGAGGTCTGGAAGTTGGGTAGCAGTTTGGAGGGTTCATAGCAGCTTTGCCCTTACGTTGCAGTGTTTATTTCAGAAAAGGCAGTGGTGGTGAGGGATTGGATACCATACTCGCTCATGCATCATACAGAGGCCTCCCACTTTCTCTTTTAAAGATATTTTCTGGGCTCCTGTTTGTTTCTGTTATACTCACTCAGAAGTGAATTTCCTTGCCGAATATTCAGTGTCAGAAAAGGAAGATCATCAGGCTGACAGGCGTGGGAGCCCAGGTGTGCCTGTCTCACTGTGTGCATGTGTGTGATTTTTTTTCTCTCTCCAAGAGTTCATCTCATCAGTATAGCTGAATTTAAAGCCATGCACACAGCATGTCTTGAACCACTTAGTTAACATTTATAATGAAAGACATACACATGTAGGTGTCTGGATGGGCCCCTTTATTCCCTTGAGAGCAGCCCACCCGGAATGGCCTAGGCGATTTTAGCTGAGTGAGAGGGAGGAAAGAATTCCTACAGCAGTTTCAGTTCTGTTCTGCTTCCAGCCTAAAAGGTTCACTCCTGCATCTGACAGGATCTGTCATTTGAGGCCACTGGACTCTAATGCAAGAACCCAGTTCTGTTTCCATAAGCAAAGTACTGCCCTCCGGTAACCTTCAGTTCCTGGCAGCATGGTCTGGATTCTAACCAATGACCTTGAGATAAAGGGCTCCAGATAAGCACACTGGGTCCCATGCTCTCAGAGTTCCCTGACTTAAGCAATTAACGTCCACAGCAAGATGCTTAGTGGCTCCTTTCCCCAGAGAGGTGCAAATCAAGGACGTTTGCAGAAAGCCAGTCACAGTTTTAAACCAAGGAGTTAAAGAGAAGAACCACGATTTGTGAGTGTTTACGGTAGAAACCATCTCGGCCCGTCCCTGCAGGCTCCCATCTTGTACCTTTCTAACAGGTTAAGACTAGGTTCAAGCCTGTGCATTCTGGTTTGCCTTTCACTAGCACAAGGGATAGTGACCGAGCCACCTCCATGTGGCCTGCAATATTTGGGACAGTAATTCTGTTCTTTGTAGGTTATTAATGTGTGTTAATTATATGAATAAAGTTTTTCAGATTAAACACATCTGCTGCAGTTACTGTGTTTAGAAACTATTCCTTGTTGAAAAACTGTTAATCAGCTTTCTAGAAATCACTTATTTACAGACTCCTTATTTGAATACAGGACAGAATCTAGACAGTATGCTCCATGGCACTGGGGTGAAATCAGAGTCCGACCAGAAGAAGTCAGAAAATGGAGCCACCTTAGCGCCAGAGGACACGCTGCCTTTTTTGAAGTGCTATTGCTCAGGACACTGCCCTGATGACGCTGTCAATAACACATGCATGTGAGTATTCTGCACAGCCCTTCTTAGAGTTGGATGAATACAGTGGTGTCTGGTGCTATTGGAAGAATTGCTAAAATTGTATTCCAAAGAGCCAAAAAGTTTCTTAATTTGCATATAGGAACATTATTCCTCTAAGTGGTAGATGGTTCCTAGATAAAGAAGAATACTATTGTGAGCCAGGTGTTGGGCACAGTAATTAAGATGCCACTTTGGGTGCCCACATTTCATATCATGGAGCCTGAGTTCAAGTTCCTGCTCCACTTCCAATTCTAGCTTCCTGCTAGAATTTTTGTTATTTACTTGAAAGGCAATAAAACAGACATTGCCCATCCCCTGGTTTATTCCCCAAATTATTGTAGTAGATGAGGTTGGGCAAGGCCAAAGCTGGAAGCAAGGAACTCAGTCCAGCTCTCTCATATAGGGGCCAGGGACGTACAGACTGGAGCCGTCATGCACTGCCTCTCCGGCTGCACATTAGCAGGAAGCTGGAATCAGAATCAGGAGCAGAACTGGGGTTTGAACCCAGCCACTGCAGTAGAGAGTGTGGGTGTCCCTTGTAGCCAATGTGCACCCCTGTGAACCCAGCCACTGCAGTAGAGAGTGTGGGTGTCCCTTGCAGCCAATGTGCACCCCTGTGTTGTGTTTTTGTATGTGGATCCCCAATCCAAATCTGACTTGTTTAGCTATTTTAATTTTCCTTCCTACCTAATTGTATATTCATTACTCATACATTCATATAGTGCTTGCCTGATAAGATGGCCTATTTGTTAATGGCCTGGTTCCCCTCACTGCCCCCAAGTAAAGCTCAAGCATCAGTTTTACCAGAATTTTAGCTTCATATTTTCTCCTAACAGAAAATGAAGATTTCTGCAAAATTCTTTTAAGTGGAGGCAGCATACTACTGACATGAATAATGAAATAGTAACAGAAAACTTAAAAAAAAAAAGAAGTTTCTTCCATACTCATTAAAGACTAGATGGATATATTGGGGGAAAACCAGGGTACTATAAATGTGTTTATATAAGTTTCTTGAAAATTCAGCAGCCTCAAAAGTTCTCCCTGTTTTCTATGACATTCAGTTAAAAAAAAAAAAAAAAAAAAAGGACCTATCAAGATCTCCATCATTCTGTTCTTTCCAAATAGACTTTTCTTCAAGATTGCGTCTGTTTGTAGGTCTCACAGCAAAATGTATTTTTATCTATTCTCATGTATAGTATGTGAATCCTGAAAACGTTATGGATAAGTGGATTTAAAAATTATCTTACTCATCTTTTTGAAACAATAGAGCTATTTACTTTGTTAAACTTTACAGGTACGCTTTCTGGAATCACATGATCATGTTAGCAAGGAGCTGTCTGTCTGTTGACTGATGGAAGTCCTTTTCCCCTGAACATAGGGTTCTCACTGGCCTTCCCATCTCAGTTCAGGGATTACCACTCTCATGTGTTCACAGCCTGCTTCACTTTGGCATATGTCTTGTGTGAGTGCAGTTCTAAGTCAGAAAACAAACTCCCCAGGGGCTGTCAGTGCCTGTTCACATTCACACTGACATTTCATGGGAAGCTAATGATGGGTGTTCCCTTTCAGAACTAATGGACATTGCTTTGCCATCATAGAAGAAGATGACCAGGGAGAAACCACACTGGCGTCAGGGTGTATGAAATATGAAGGGTCTGACTTTCAGTGCAAGGTAAGATCTAGTTTGGGACCCATGAGATAAAGGAGGGAGGGACCCCAGGAAAAGCATAGAGGTGCACCTGCTCTGCACACCGCCAGGAGTTCTGTGAGCAAACGACTGCAGGAATCTCATTCTTCCATCAGCTAGTACGACTGTGGTAATTGAAGTGCCAGATTATTTTACTTTCAGGAAAGTTTAAAACCATCTTAGTTTGTCATGATTGTAAAAATGGATATTGCCACTTTTGTTTATAGATTATAAAACTTGCTGAAAAGGCTTTAAGATGATAAGCAGTAACCTTTGTTTCATCCTGAGATGATTTAGTAATGTTAACTCCTAGGAGCAAGCTTTTTTTTTTTTTTTTTTTTTTTTTTTTTTTTTTTAGATTTATTTTTTAATTTATTTGAAAGGTAGAGTGACCGAGGCAGAGAGAGAGAGAGAGAGAGATCTTCCATCCACTAGTTCACTCCCTATATGATTACAATAACCAAGGCTGGGCCAGGCCAAAAATAGGACCCTGAACTCCTATCCAGGTCTCCCATGTGAATGGCAGGGGCCCAAGTGTCTGGGCCATCTTCTGCTGTTTTCCCAGGTCCATTAGCAGAGAGCTGGATTGGAAGAGGAGCAGCTGGGACTCAAACCTGCACTCTGACTTGGGTTGCCAGCTTTGCAAGTGGCAGTGCAACCTGCTGCACCACGATGTTGGCCTGGGAGTAGGCCTTTAACCTAGAGGTTAGAATGCCTGCATCCCACACCAGAGTAGCAGGGTTAGATCTCTGGCACCAGCTCTTGCTTTTAGCTTCCTTGCAGTGTGGACCGTGGGAGACAGTGGTGATGGCTCAAACAGTTGGGTCCTCGCCCAGTCTGGGAGACCTGGATTGAGTTCCTGGCTCCCGGCTTTGGCCCCAGGCCAGCTCTGGCTGTGGCAGGCATTTGGGGAGTGAACCCATGGGTAGGAACTCTCTCTGCCTTTCAAATGAATAAATAAAATTCAAAAAAGAAAGAAAGAAATGTTAAGTCCTTGTAAGGAGGTAGCATGGATTTACTTTCAGAGCTGGGGCAATGGAATGGTAATAAAGTTTATTAACACCCTGACAGCTCTTGGTTACAAATCCAGAATCTTCAAAATTCTGTGTAGTAGTTTTGCCCCAGAAAAGCCCTTACATGCTTTTCAGAGCAGTTCAAGAAGCAGCTATTTGTAGACAGGTTACGTCTGCTGCGTTAGAAACTCCCAGGACTGGGAGAGTCCTTAGAGGGTCTGTTTCTGCCCTTTGCTGTGCTTGGCATCCCCACTCGACAGGTGACTCGGGGGGCCATGAAGGAGAAAGCTGACCTTTCTTTGAGGAGGCGGCCCCTTCTACATGCAGGAGGCTTTTCTCATCCCGTTCTCCTCCCGCATCCTCTCAGCTCCATGCTCAGTTCCCCATGGCCCAGCTTCTTCCTAAGCCACCACACGCTCTGTTGAGAGGGCCTGACAGTTGGCAGGCAGGCAGTTGGTGACCTGTTTCCCTTTCTGTAAGCACTGTCAGTCTCAGGGTGGAAGCCGGGCAGTCACGCTGTCCTTACCTCCCTGAGCTGCTGTCAGCCCAGACTCCGAGTCTCACTCAAGCTGATGAGCCAAGTGTCTCCCGCTCCAGTGGTGGTAGTGCTGGCGTGAATACATATAACCAAGTGTGGATGCCAGGAATGTCTGTGTTCTTTATTTTCATCTTGTTTGAAAGGCAGAGAAACGGAGAGATCCGCTGGTCACTTCTCTAATGTCTGCAACAACCAGAGCTGGGTCAGGCCAAAGCCAGGAGCTGGAAACAGCCTTAGTCTCTCCCTTGAGTGGCAGGGACCTGAGTACCTGTGCTGTCACCCACTCCTGACTGAGCAGGAGCAGGGGTTGGGTGGGGGTCATCGAGGGCATGTGGGGAGTGAGCTGGTGGACGGGAGCTCTGTCTCTGCCTCTCAAATAAAATAAGTGAAAACAATTTAAAAATAAAATTGTGGTGGAAAATTCTTGTGTTGGCCCACAAGTATGTGAGGGACACGTTGTTTTACAGAGGTTACACAGGCACTTGGCTCACTGTCTCCATATTTTGGTAAGTGTCCCTCCTGCTCAGGAGCCCCCAGCCTGAGGGGAATGGCTCTGGGTCTTGCCCTAAGCCGCCCCTGTGCTCCCCTGTCCTGTCGGTGTGGATCAGAGGGGTGCAGATGGCTGTCCCCACGCCGTGCGTTCCCACCAGCCCAGCTTGCTCGGTCTCTTCCTGTGGGGTGCGTTACTGCTCAGAGGCCTCACTGCCACTCCTTGTAATTTGGTTTTGTTCCAGCCTCCTATACTGTCTCCCACCCAAGCTCTTGAAATAAGGTGACTTAAGTCAGCCTTTCCTACTTCATACATACCAAGTGAATTTTCCCCCCGCCGTGAGAATTTTTATTTCCCACATTAGTTTGGAAATAAAAGCTGACTTGGGTAGAAGATGGCAGTGGGCAGTGCAGGAAAGGGAGAGATTGGGTTATGCCACTCTGTGACTGAGGCAGGCTTGGCTTTGCCCACTCCCCTGAGAGGTGAGCTGAGGCTGGTGGCACTTGTCCTTGGGGAGACCTTACTGGGCCTCTGGGGGTCCCCAGCTGTTTTTGGCTTAGTCTGGAAGCTCCTCAGGTGCCCACGTCAAGCTCAGCAGAAGCAGTAACTGAATGTTTGTTATTTGCGTTCACTGTGCAGGGCATTCAGTGCATCTTCCTCATCTTGCCCATTACTCTAAGGCAGATCATTTCTTTGTCCTGTGTTTTTCAGCAGAGCAAAGGCGGAGAGAGGAAAGATGGTTGCTCAGCTGGGGTTTAAACCGATTCCAGAGCCCTCGCTTTTTGCATAGTAGTGGACCGCCTTCAGTCCCTTGGCAAAGTCTGCCTTCTTCCCTTGAAGAGTACTCTGGTTCCCAGAGTCCTGAGGTCATGCCTGTCGTCTGATCTTCCTGGGCTGTGGTGCAGCTGAGTTAGGAGAGAGGGACTCACATGGAACCCAGAGCACCGTCAGCTCCCTTCACGTACCTGGGGTCCCAGCCCCCGCTTAGAGCTTCTGGTCTACCATCTTCATGCCTGTCATCACGTTGGTGGGGAACGGTTCTGTCCCCTGCTCCCTCTCTGCTGCCAGCCTTACGCCCGTTGCTTGGTGCTCTCTCCCCCAGCACTGCCAGATAAGCTGTTTCTGGAGTTTTCTTTGCCCTCTGTCTTCTGCAGGACTCCGCTCACACCAGCCTCCCTGGGTGTTGCTGGATGTTTGGCGCTTCTTTTCCTCACCTTTAGTTATGTGCTCTTCCTGTGAGTTTCCTCTGGATCTGAAATTATGTCAGAATCCTTAATATAATTCTTTCTCATCACAAATCACTTTAAAGTAAAAAATGTAAAACAAAAAATTCATTTAAAATATAGAATTCCTTATATTTGGAAATTTCCAAATTCTCTCAGCCATGTTCCCAGATAGAATCTTGAGTCGTGGACCTCATGTTCACTTTTTAAAAGTAATACCTGATTATTCTGAGTCTTCTGAAAATCTTTTCTTTTTTAAGATTTATTTTTATTTACTTGAAAGGCAGAGTTACAGAGAGGCAGGGGCAGGGGCAGAGAGAGAGAGAGAAAGCTCAATCTTCTATCCGCTACTGATGCCATAAACAGGAGTGTCATTTTGTAAAGTCAACAACAGGAGTCACTGTGCACTTACTCCTCATGTAGGATCTCTGTCCTTAATGTGCTGTACATTGAGATTTAATGCTATAACGAGTACTCAAACAGTATTTTTCACTTTGTGTTTCTATGTGGGTGCAAACTGTTGAAATCTTTACTTAATGTATACTAAACTGATCTTCTGTATATATGGAAAATTGAAAATGAATCTTGATATGAATGGAAGGGGAGAGAGAGCGGGAAAGGGGAGGGTTGCGGGTGGGAGGGAAGTCATGGGGGGGGGGGAGCCAATGTAGTCCATAAGCTGTACTTTGGAAATCTATATTCATTAAATAAAAGTTAAAAAAAAATCTTCTATCCGCTGGTTCACTCCCCAAATGGCTGCAACAGTCGGAGCTGGGCTAACTGAAGCCAGGAGCCAGGACCTTCCTCTGGGTCTCCCACTGGGGTGCAGGGGGCCAAGGACTTGGGCCATCTTCTACTGCTTTCTCAGGCCATAGCAGAGAGCTGGATTGGAAGTGGAGCAGCTGGGACTCGAACTGGCACTCATATGGGATACTGGCACTGCAGGTGGTAGCTTTATGTCTTCTGACAATCTGATATGTTAGGATAGCATGGATAATTCTGCTTATCTTCTTGCTACTTTTGCAATGACAAACTACCTTTCTCTCAGTATTTTGGTCCAGGATGGTACTTCTTCCAGGCAGTGTTGAAATCTTAGTATTCAACATGTCAGATCCTGTGTTGTGGATCACAAACATGCTACACTAGACGTGCCTGTGACTCCAGTCTCTGTCTCTGCTGGTCTTCTGACCGGCACATCATGGGTCTGGCTGGGGTCCCTGGCTCTCAGCAGTGTTGTTTCTCTGCTGCAGTTGGTTGGTGGGAGCGTAGCTGTTCTTTGTGGAGACTGCAGCGCCCTCTGCTTGCTGGATCACCTCCCTGGACCAGTGTCTTTGCACCAGGACACCCTCTACTTTTCCCTCTGATCCCAAGTCTCATCCCAGCGTCAGTACCCTGTGAAATCATACTTACCCTGCTGGGTTGATTGTGATCAATTTTAATTTCTCCTGTGTTTTTAAGGAAAAGATCTCATGATTTTAGAGTAAATACATTTTTACTAAAAAGAAAAAAAAATAACTCTGAGTTATAACAGAGTAAGATATGCCTAAGTTTATGAGCAAGAGGAAACACTTATTCCAGCTTAACCATCCACATATGTTCTTAAGGAAAACCAATTTAGGGTGGGTGTTGTGGCTCGTGGATTGAGCCACTGCTTGGGATGTTTGCATCTCATGTCTGAGTGCCAGTTCAAGTCCTGACACCTCTGCTTCTGATCCAACTTTATGCTGCTGCATCCTGGGGGCAGTGCATGATGACTGAAGTGCTTGGCTCCGTGCCCATGTACATCTGGACTCCTGAATTCAGCTTGACCCAGCCCTGGCTGTTGGTGCCATTTGGAGAGAGAACCAGTGGATAGGATACACACACACACACACATACACATTTTCTCCTAACAGAAAATGAAGATTTCTGCAAAATTTTTTAAGTGGAGGGAGCATACATACACACATGTGTATATATACACATATGTGTGTGTGTATATATATGGACATACACATATGTATATATCAGATGGGAGATACACGTTTGTCTCTCTCTATATATATATGTATGTATATCCATATCCCTCTGTCTTTCAAATAGATGAAAATAAAACCATTTTACAGTCTTCACTGTTAGCACAAATTTTAATAAAATGCATAAAATAGGTATTTTTTCACTCATTGAATTAGAAATTGTATTTTCATGAATACTGAAAAACTCATTATACATCTAACAAGCCATTTCTAATTTGCCATTACGCTTCCCTTAGGATTCACCTAAAGCCCAGCTGCGCCGGACCATAGAGTGCTGCCGCACCCACCTGTGTAACCAGTATTTGCAGCCGACACTGCCCCCTGCTGTTGTAGGTAGGTTAACCCAGAACTGGCTGCACACTGCCTGGAGTTGACGCACAAGTTCCGTCTCCTTCCTAGCAAGACAGGATAGGAAGGTAACATGTTTCCTTCCGTTGTCAGGTCCTTTCTTCGATGGCAGCGTCCGGTGGCTGGTTGTGCTTGTGTCCATGGCCATCTGCATCGTTGCTATGATCATCTTCTCCAGCTGCTTTTGTTACAAGTAAGAATGCTTTTCCTTTGATGCACAATATATTGTTAAGTACTGGCTACGACAGTAGTTTTTAAAGGCAGTGGGCAGAAACAGCTGACTACAGCGTGCAGCTCTGAAGCCATGAACTTGTGCTGTCTGGGCAGGTCCTTGAATCTAGGCAGATTATCTTTTCCTCACAGGGAAAAGAGGGCTTCAGTGCCAACTAAGTGAACGCAAGTTTGTACTTCTTGTATGTTCATGGATACTTAGAATTTTCTTACTCACAGACCAGTGAGCTTTCTCACTTATAAAAATAGCTCAGTTTGTACAGCCTGTTCCAAGAAATCAACCATATTCTTATTCTTTATTAATTTGGGTGCAGAACTTTTGCACTTGGCTGTGATTTCAGAAGACAGCTGCACACAAAAAAAATTACGACAGCCCCTACCAGTAGACATCTTGATAAGGCATTGCTATGTTAGCAGAGTGCAGAGCTATCAGTGTGACAAGGTTGGGAAACCCGTAAGTAGTCCAGAGCACACTCAGAAATTTAGCATATGATAGAGGTGACATTTTGGATCACAGAGGAAAAGGTGGATTATTCAGTAAATGGATTTGAGAGTAGGCAGCTCTGTGGAAAAAATGAAGCTGGATCAGTTGCCTACACTGAAAGAGATTTTAGCCAGATCAGAACTGTATATATGAAACAAAAAACAGTTAAAGTACTGAGGGAAAAAAAAAAACATGGCAGAATATTTTAAAAAATAATTTTAGGGTTTAGAAGACCTTTCAGAGTCTAACAAAAGTTAGAAGTGAAATAAACCCCTCCCCACCAAAAACAACAACTCACTAAAATAAAAAAAAAAAAAAACTGATTGTGTCAGCTACACAAGAATAAAACCCTACTATATGGCAAAAGCCACTACCAACCGGAAGAGAGACTCTAAGTGAAAAATGTTGAGAGCTCGCATAACAAAGAGCTGATCTCTCAAATATAAAGAGCTTCTATACATCAAAGAAGAAAAAAATAAAAGCAATTCAGTGGGAAAATAGGCCTCCCAAAGTAAGGACATGATTTATATAAAAGGAATACATGTAACTTTCGAATGAAAATTAAAAGGGTACCTACAAATATTCATAATATTAAGAAATATGCGTTAGTTTTCACCTGTGATGCTGGCAAGGTTTCACGTTTGACAAGTGGTTCTTGAGGTTATGTTCCTGTCACTGAAATAACAGTTTAGAGTTTTTAACTTCTTTGTGCAACTGGTACAAGGGGAACAGGAGATAAAGTAACAATAACATTTTCAAGCCCATGAAGCAGGTAGATGAATAGTGAGTGACTTTGCCCACTGAGATGTGTAGAAGTGGAGAAAGCCAAGAAGCAGCCTGTGTGTGCCTTCACTGTCTGGAGGCTCAGGGACCAGCAGCGGGGGTTGGCTCTGGGAGCCAGGTGGGTGGTAGCTATAATACCGAGAGGACTGCTGGTGGGTCTGGTGTTAATGAGTCCTCCGGAACTCAGTGGCTTCAATGCACAGCCATCTTCTTGTTTGTGGGCACCAGGGATTCCGGAGTGCTTGTGTAGTGCTCAGGGGATGCCGTGAGCTCCCTGTCAGACTGCAGCTGAGCCCCTCCTCTGGAAGCTGGCCTTGGCTGGCAGTGGGGGTTGGCTTCCGAGGCTGACAAGTTGCAGGCTGGCTGTTGGCAGGGCTGCTTGGATGTCCTCACAGCAGGAATCCCGGCCTCCCCGAAGCCTGGGACATCTCAGAAACTGCAGTGCTGTTTAACATCTAAGTTGGAGGGGTGTACATTTGGTGGGTGACTAAGATGGCGCTTGGGACCCACTTGGGACACCTGCTTCCCATTCCAGCATCCTGCTAATGAGCACCCTGGGAGGCAGCAGGGGATGGCTCCAGTACTGGCTTCTGCCAGCCACGTCGGGAGACCGGGACTGAGTTTCAAGTTTCTGGTTTTGGCCCAGCCCATCCACAGCTGAATCGTGGTATTTGGGGAGTGGACCAACCGATGGAAGATGTTGTTCTGTACTTCTCTGTCTCTCTTTCAAATAAAAATAACGTTTAGACTTGGCAATGGCACCATCACTTCTGCAGCCTTGCTATGTGGGGGAGGGGACCAGAGGGCTTGAACACCAGGAGGTGGGGTTGCTGGCTCCCACAGATGGCAGGCTCTCGCTGCCTCCTAACCAGAGGCTGGAAGAGTGTTCTTAGAAGGAACGGAAGATGCAGGATTTCACCTTGGGAATCCTGTTGTTGAGGAAGTAGAAGACCCTTTCTCAGGCCGGCGCCGCGGCTCACTAGGCTAATCCTCCGCCTAGTGGCGCCGGCACACCGGGTTCTAGTCCCAGTTGGGGCGCCGGATTCTGTCCCGGTTGCCCCTCTTCCAGGCCAGCTCTCTGCTGTGGCCAGGGAGTGCAGTGGAGGATGGCCCAGGTGCTTGGGCCCTGCACCCCATGGGAGACCAGGAAAAGCACCTGGCTCCTGGCTCCTGCCATCAGATCAGCGCGGTGCGCCGGCCGCGGCGGCCATTGGAGGGTGAACCAACGGCAAAGGAAGACCTTTCTCTCTGTCTCTCTCTCTCACTGTCCACTCTGCCTGTCAAAAAATAAATAAATAATAATAATAATAATAAAAAGAAGACCCTTTCTCCCCAATGCCCATTTGAGTCTCCAAAGTAGATTCACAAAAGACTGATCAATGGGAAAAAATAAACGGAGGCCACATATATGAGGATACTTCTGGAAGTGTGTGGGAAAATGATTGAAAGATAAATTTTGGTGCAAAACATTTTAAAATAATATATGTGAGGAGTCCTCATAATGTACAGTATAAAAAAACCCTGCATTTTGAGGATTTTTTGGGTACCAAAATAAACCTTCAGTTTCATCTTTTTGGGAAACTGCAGAATCCTAGTAGAGTACTTCCACGCAGTGGAGAACTAGGCAGGTGCAGCTCATGTAGAGCTGAACAGAGGGGGTGGGGCTTTGGGCTTTTGGAGGTGGAGGGGGGCGGCTCAGGGGCTGGGAGGCTGAGGGAGGAGGTACACAGTAAGCAAGGAGGTCCCTTATGCACCTGGTTGCAGCCCCCTGGGGTCATTTCCATCTGGACCAGGTGTCTGCCCCCTGCTCTCTTCTTCCTGTGAGATCTCCCTCAGACGGCAGCCGGTCAGAGCCATCCCCGCGCCCTCAGAGTAATGACATGTTTCCTAGTGGCGTACTTTAGGGTGCACAGAGGTGAAAACAGGAGGAGAGGTGAGGTTGTGCACGTTGGTGATGGGCCTCCTAGAACTCTGTCAGCTGTGTGCCCTCCTGAGGACTCCTGAGGAGTGAAACCTGCCAGGCCCAGAGGAGAGGCCTGAGAAGACCGCCATGAGGGCCCAGGACAGTGGCCCAGGCAGATTGACGGACAGTGGCACTGTAATTAGCTGTCGGCTGCCAGTCAGAGCGTGAGGCACAGAGGGGCCCGAGCTCAGGGTAGTGGGGAGCAGATGAGGTGAGCCCGAAGACTGCCCACCCCACTGCCTGCGGAGTCTGCCCGCGGGACACGGGAGCAGAGTACTGGGAAGGGGAGTCTCGCAGAGAACGCTTCCCGCCAGGTACCCTGCTGGTACCAATGAGCCCGGGCCTGCTCGGAAACCGCTCAAAGCTGGAGAAAGAACCCTTGAAGTGATTGCAGAAAGTCGTGTTTGGTGCTCACACAAGGCTGGTTTCCACCAGCTTGAGACTCGAAACCCTCATAATTCGTAGGGTTTGGTTTTGGTACTCAGAAGGACCTTGCTTTGGTGGTAGGGAATGATTAGCCTTAGACTAACCGTGGCTCTGGTCCCATCTTAAAAGCAGGACCCACAAGGATCATGGTGTTTTCATGTAACTGTATCCTAGGACACAGAAACATTTATAGGAATATAAAACTGTCCAGCTATGACCAAGGTGCAGTTCCCAACATCTGCCATCCAGTGAGCACCAGAATTCCCTGTAAGGAAGGAAAAAATTAGGCAGCCAAAACCACCACCCCAGAACTTCAACAGATCTTAGAATTGTAGGCGATAGCATTACAATAGGGGCTGTAATTCTGCTTTATGTGTTCACAAAGTCAGAGACAGAAGGTATTTATAAAAGGCCCCAGCGAAGGCATACCCGTAGACCTTGCCTGACTGTGCTCATGGCCAGACAAGGGGGACAGTGTGTGCCAGAGCAAATGCGGAGTTCGTGCCAGCACTAGCCAGCTAAATCCGTGGCTGGATAAATTGCCACACTCCAACATTACTTAAAAAAGCAAGAAGACCCCAGTGAAACTTAAGGAAGTAAAACATACAGTACCTGAGATGAAAAATATTTTTTGAATTATTTAGTTATTTGAAAGGAAGAGGGAACGACAGAGAGAGAGAGAGAATCTTCTACCCTCTGGTTCACACCCCAGCTTGGCTGGGCCAGCCTGAAGCCAGAAGCCAGGAGCTTCATCCAGGTCTTCCACTTGGGTACAGGGTCCTGAGTACTTGAGCCACCTTCCACTACTTTCCTAAGCATATTAAAAGGAAGCTGGATCAGAAGTGGAGCAGCCAGGATGTAAACTGGTGTCCATATGGGATGTGGCATTGTAGATGGTACCTTTACTCATTGGGTGACAGTGCCAGCCCCCTGAGAGGAAATTTTATACTGGATGAGATTAGTGGCAGATTAGACCCTAGCAAGAAAGATGGATGAATGTCAAGATAGTAATAAAAACTGTACCAAATAAAGCACAGAAAAAAGAATTTATAAAATGAACAGAGCACCACTGAGCTGGGGGACATCTTCCAGTGGCCTAAAGTATGTGTACTGGAGTCCCCCTGACAAGCCTCTGCCTGTGGCACCAGCGTCCCATATGGGCATTGGTTCTCTTTCCAGCTGCTCCACTTCCAATCCAGCTCTCTGCGGTGGCCTGGGAAAGCAGTAGAAGGTGGCCCAAGTCCTTGAACCCGGGCACTCACGTGGGAGACTCAGGAGAAGCTCCTGGCTCCTGGCTTTGATCGGT